TTCAAGAAGGTAAAAGGCAGGGAAAGTGTATAAAGATATTTCCACAGCCTTCAGTTTGACTTAAGAGCCTTTTGATCTGGAGATAGTGGTTTTTTCCAAGTCAATTATGAAGTTTTGAGAATATACTGGGAAATACTATTGTTATTGGGCATGTGTCAGTAATTGTATTGCAGCATAGCAGCAACTTGTTTGATTGGCTTGGTTTAAGTGTTAATGTTTCTTTCTCTTAGCTACAAGCTAATGAAACTTGAATTGTCCAAATAAAGCCAAATATACTGCTGCTGTTGTATAATGTTAATGATTTCCCAAACCTCTCCAGTGTATTTCAATCAAGAATTATTTAGGAGTATTTATAAAGGATATTTTTTTCTTACAATATTGTATTTTCCAAATTTATATGGAAAGTACTTTGAGTGAAATCACAGTGTAGTTCTGTCAGCCTCCTATGTTTTCTGAAGCCATGGTCATCTGGATGTCCTAGAATTTGAGCCTTGGATTCTTCACTTATTCTTCCATCTGAAGTAGAAAAAAATTATGAAATTATTTTAATTGAGTGAGGTGTCTGATAAGACATCTGAATCTAAGGAAACAAAGTAGAATATTCTGTATTAAACACAAGTATTTATGTTGGCTTAGTGGAGGGAGTGGGAATCCTGGCCTGTAGTTCTGCCACAGGAAGATTAATTCTACCTAAAGATTAACGTGAAACAATTCTACTTTGTCATTATCTGATGTATCTAGCAACATTATTTGGTGAATTAACTGAGGAGTAATCATTGCTTAGATCTCTCTACTATGATTAAATGTAAAGAGAAAAAAATCCATGTAGTTATTACTTCATCCAGTTAAATTCCTGTGCTGTTGCATTAGCTGCATCCTTGGTCTGAGAACGTGGGATTTTAATCTCTAGCATTATAGGAAGCTTTAATCACATGTTTATTTACTGTTTGTGATCTAGGAAATGTCATTGCTTCATATAGCTAAGCAGTAGAGAATGTAATCTAAGGATTAGGAAAAGGCAAATCTTCCTTATCCATTTGACCTTGTGTGATCTGGCATGATTTTTCCCTAATTATCTAAAGCTTGATGTATGTGCATGATAGATATTGAATGAGCTGTGCAGATATGGATAAAGTTCTAATGCTTAACTTTATTTCATATTCATCGTAAATATAACTGCAAACAAATCACAAGAAAACCCAGAAAAATCTGAAATAAAACGTAGTGTCAGTATAAGACAAATTTTCAGTAATTCAGTGGCCTTGATTTTGTTAATTCAAAATGAAAGTCTTATGATGCAGTTAATATATATAAAGCCTTAAGTCAGTTTGGTTAATTTTGGACCATAATAGGACAAACTTATTTGTTTGTTCTATGGTTGCTTATTAGAAGAAAAACAAGTCATTTGACTTGAAAACAAATGGGGAAAATTGTGATCTAGTTTACTGAGAGCTGATTGTGCCCTTTATGGGTTTCAGTAGCTTCTTCAAGCAAATGGCAAGTTGATTAAACAGTGAAAGCTAAAGAATAAAGATACAGTTCTTAAAATGGGCAATAAAATGTTTGTAGCTGTTTGGGGTAGGAGAACTGATCTTCAGAAAATTAATGGATTTCTTTTAATATTTACTTTGGCCACTTCAAGATTAATGATTAGTAGAGCAAGAAAGGAATGTTCTTTCTACAGCCTTTATAAATTTAAATAAATCAAAATGCTGTAGAATTACAAATGTGACTAGAATTAATCAAGTTGTTGCAGTCAGGTCCTTCAAATACTGAATTAAAATATCTTACATAAGCTATAATATTTGGGAAATAAAATGTGTATTGATCTTTTAAGAAACTTATGCAGCTGGCTCATCTGAGGAATGTCATGGAGATACTCTGCTCTTAACTTTACAAATACATTCTAGCCTTGACAAGTCCATTTGAGACATCTGAATGTTCCTGAAACAAAACTCCCTGTCAGGTTTAATTTCTTGGCAATTTCTAAGCAGATCCTTAAACTACTGTTAACTTATGCATTTGTGGTTCTAATTTAAAATTCCTTAATACTTCTGCAAATGCATTCTTTGTGCAATTAAATTTTGAGGTGGAGAGGAGGAATTGCAGTGTATGCCATACTCTACAGTTCTGTTTAATAGTATGCGACTGAACAGGAAAAAACCCCAAGTTTTTAGCTTTACAAGTTCATAGAAACATGGTGGGCTTTGATGTTAAAGGTCCTTTTGTTTTGTATGCTTAGAATACTTCAGGGAAATGTCCTTCACTGCAACATAACTATAGCTACTGAAAACCTCTAAAGATCTGGTATCAGTCTAACTACCAGGAGTCTTTTGTGCACTGATCTGTTCCAAAATACTACAGCACAGTGCATTAATTTAATTTTTAATCTTGAATGGAGTTGAACTGTGCTTTTCTGTGTTTTTCTGAAAAAAATCTAGTCCTAACATTTAAAGCCAATATCAAATGAAGTCATATGCAATTTTGTTGTAACTGCATTTGATTCAGTAATAAATGATGTATTTTTATGACAGCTTTAATATTCAGTATTTTAGTGTAAAATGTAGCTAAAGAACAGCATACTTGATTGCATATTTTCAAGCTTTCAGTGCATCTGCTATTAATAGTGTGTACCAACAGCAGCATTAAAAATCAGATATTTGTTTTCTGCTCTTAAAACATACTAACCTTCAAGTATCTAGTTTGTTTTACAAGAGAAATCAGAGTTTTATCATAACTACTCTTGTATCAGGAAGCGGGGGTGTTAAAAGTAGTTTAGAAATGTCGCAGCACTCAAATATAAGTAGACTCTTAATTCTGAATATGCTATTCAGAAACTTTGACTTCTAAGAAATCCCAGTCACCTGCTTTGAGTGGGAACATCATATGCTATAAAATTTGTCTTAATTTAATCTGGAAATGTATTTCAGGGTAACTTTACATCTATTTAATTGCCCATAATTCTCTAGTTCATGAGATGGTGTCTACAAAACACAGGAATTCCATTTTTACTGGAACTCAGCTGTTAAAATGTGTTCCTCTGTTGTCAGCCTGAGGGCTCAGGGATTTGGAGGCTTTTCTGAGCATTCTGTGACATAACAGACACTTTAGAGGAAGGTTTCTTTACAGAATACAGCTCCTCCACAATGTTTGCATTACAAGAATCCATATGAATAAAAAACTTCCTAGGGACTTGCAAGAAGATTTGAAAGCTGGGAAGACTTCAGGTAGACTGAAGCTGGTTTGGCTTTCCTAGTTCTTCACTCACTGAACACTGACTTGAATAAATGCAATTGTATTTATTTCCTGTTCTGCACTCGTGAGGTGAAAAAGTGCATAAAAGACTGGTGTTTCAGTTATTGGGATAAAATGTTAACATATTCATTTCTGTTGTGGCACATGGGAATGGACCAGTAGTCATTAAATAAAGCTGCTAATGGTGTGTGGATTTTTTCACTAATAAGTGAAAGAGTGAAAGAGGAGCAGCTGAGGGAGCTGGGTCTCTTTAGCTTGGAGAAGAGGAGACTGAAGGGTGATCTCATTAATGTTTATAAATTTGTAAAGGGTGAGTGTCAGGAGGAAGGAGCCAGGCTCTTCTCAGTGACAGCCAATGACAGGACAAGGGGCAATGGGAGCAAGCTGGAGCATAGGAGGTTCAATCTGAACATGAGGAAAAACTTTTTTACTGTGAGGGTTATGGAGCACTGGACCAGGATGCCCAGAGAGGTTGTGGAGTCTCCTTCTCTGGAGACATTCAAAACCCGCCTGGACGCGTTCCTGTGTGACCTGGTCTGGGTGATCCTGCTCTGGCAGGGGTTGGACTGGATGATCTTTAGAGGTCCCTTCCAACTCCTAATGTTCTGTGATTCTGTGTAAGAAATGTATTGGTTTACTACTACTACTGTTTTTCATTGAAAGCCACTTCAAACTAAATTGTCTTCTAAAGCATATTGTAAAGGATGTTTTCTCCTTCTAAATTTTCAGTGGGTTTCTGCACATAAGTTTTTGTTACTGTCTCCTATTGATGTAAGATCACATTCCCACTAAGGAAACTTCAAGGTCTTGATAAATGTAATTAACTTCTGGTTAAGTAGTGTAGAAAGGTACATTTTGTTGTGGAAAAAAGCTAACAAAATATTTGAAGACTTAGGAGGACAAATGCTAAGTGTCCATAGAAAAACTTCTGTTGCATCTCTGAAATTGGTTGGATTTTGGTATGTCCTTTGCTAATGCATTTAACACTGCAGCTCAGTGTGTTTAAATCCAATCCAGCAAAGGCTTCAAGCAGGGCTTCAGTTTGACTCCTTTTCTCATGCTTCCCACCAATGAAATAAAGTCTGCAGTGTTTCATTAGCATGCTAGAGAGTCAATATTTGGAGAGAATTATAATCAAGCATCAGTTTTGTACCTGTCTCTGGAATGAGTAGAGTCATTCAGCCTGGGTTTGAACTTTTAAATAGAATTATGTCATCATTGGCATAACATTAATCTCAGATTTTTGGGTACGATCTATGTGCCTTGATTATATTCCTGAAAGTTTGAAAGATTCGCTTGACGTTTGCTCATAAGTGCACTGTAGATAAACACCATTAAAACTGAATACTTTGCTTATAGCATAGAGGGATAAAGTAGTCAATTAAACTATCCTGTAAGTTTTTGAATTTAAAAAGGAATAAAGATATCTAAGAATACTTCTTGCTGCTTGAGCCATATAAAATGTAAATGTATACAAAGTATAAATCTAAAAGTTAGCTTTTAAAATGCTTGCAATGCCAATTCAACGTGCTGATAGGAACATGAGTATTAAAAATCCTGAAAAAGAAAAGCATGTTTACTCCTTTGACCTATGCAACTAATTATGTTAGTTACATGTTATGCCCTATGTATTATGCCATACAGTATTAGTTGTAAAGTTCATTTCTACTGTCTTTGAAGATTCTCAGGTTTTATGTTGTATTAAAATGTGAAAATAACTGAGTTTTTTTCCTTTAACAGAAATTGAAAAATTCCAAAAAGGGGAAGGAAAGGAAGAGGAAAAGTATATTGATGTAGTCATCAATAAAAATATGAAGTTGGGACAAAAAGTTTTGATTCCAGTCAAACAATTCCCAAAGGTAAGCCCAGTTTTCATACTTGATAAATCTAATTGCTTATAAGAGATATTCCACTAATACATTAACTAATTTTTTAACTGTTGTACTTAAACAGTATTAACCATTTCCACTGACTGTTCTGCAGTCTGTTCTGGACAGATTCTAAGGTCGGAATGGTTCTTGTTGGAATAAATGTGGAAGAAAGTGGTGCTGGTCACACAAGTGTGAGTATAAATGAATTACGCTTTCAGGATAGCAGGATCCTTCTCTTCCAAATAGCAAAGAGAATTAATTGTATTGGTTTACTCTGATGCCAGACTTTAAAACTTTCTCCTTGTAGGTAAAACTGCAGCCTAAAATGCACCACTGAAGGAACTCGCTGTGTGAACACTTTCTTCTCATCCTCCTATGTTTCAGCTATTGTTAGTCTTGGATTAGTTAACACTGCACTATTAAATTATGCAGACTATTCTGGAGGCGTAGGGACTGTTTTGTTAATCTTTGACCACCATGAACTCTTAACACTTCTTTACTGCCAAGTATTATCCTGTACTAAAATATTGCTGGAAGCATTTATTCAATACTGAATAGGCTGTGGCACTTTATTCTTTTGGTTCCTTTTTAAATTTTGAGGTTAATGCTATGAAAATCAGATGAGCATTTTCCCACTTGTTTGAACTGGCTTTTTTTTCCTACTAGAAATTTCAAGACTGCTTCTGTTTCTGCTCATGAAGGAAAGGAATTCCTTTTATCTTAATATTTTTTTTCTGACCCTTATCAATGTCTTCCTCACAGACTGGGATGGGTAACCTGCAGGAATTGCTTTACTGCTGTTTGAAGTTTAATGAAACTTCATGACATTTCAGTGAATTCAAGATTGCATGCCATTTATACGTGGGCCCTTCTTTTGAACGCTGACTTAAGTCGGAAGAGCTCCATACAAATATACAGAAACATAACGATGGGAAGGGGAAACTTTTATGGTCAGTGTGAGATGCTGATACTTCTGCTCAAGGGGAAGAAAGGTGAAGTGGTTATTACAAAGGGAAACAAGGTCTTTTGAAAGATGCTGCTGCTTTATGTAGTGTCAACTTCCTTTAAAGGGCTGAACTCAAATTCTTATTTAAGATAGGTAGCAGGAAAGCTCTTGCCCATCTTTTAAATGGGCAGGTATGCTCTGATGTGACCTCAGTAGTCTTGGTCCATGGGGACAGTGTGTGAGCTGGGATAAAGCCCACTATATGCTATGGAAAGAAACCTCAGTTTGTATCCAGGTAGAGCTTTGGTGTGATCCTGTATGCGTTTGCTTAGTCCACCACGATCCAGGGGGTACAAAGTACAACTGTGCAGAATAGACAAGCCATCTGAGTTCCTGTGTCTCCATGAAGACTTTCTCCACAGAAAGCAGAATACTGATATCTCTGCTCACACATCTCCCTTCTGCCAGAGCAAATAGTTTCTAGGTAGTTTCTATTTAACAATATTTTCCCCCCAGTATAGGAGGGCTTATTTTTTTAGAAATTTCCACTTTATCACATATAGATTGATATTTATCTTAAAGCTTACTTATTAAAGATTCTGTATAGTCAAAAGGAATTAAAATTTCTCACTGTGTAGGAGTAGCTTAGGATCCGAGTATGAATTCAGACTTATGACAGGAACTCTTGAACTTCTCTGAAAAACACCCACCCTAAACCACAGGCAGTCACTGCAGTTTAGTGTCACTTGTTTACTAGGACCAGGCTTGTGGTTTTATTTCTGAGATCTAATAAATCTAAATGTATTGTATGAAGTGACATGAAGTTGGACAGGGCTTTGAGCAACCTGGGCTGGTGGGAGGTGTCCCTGCCCATGGCAGGGGTCAGACTGGATGAGCTTTGAGGTCTCTTCCAACCCAAACCATTCTGTGATTCTGACATAGCTTCAGTGTGGCATCTGAGAGCCTTATTCTGTCGTGCTAAAGTCTGCGGTGAGTGACATGAGTCTTGAACATCGGTACCCAAGGGAACAAAGTCTTTTTGCATCCTAATGTTTGCTATGAAGGCTAATCTTCTTTCTCTTCAGTGTGTTCAGAGGAGGGCTTAGAAATTAGGGATTCTTTATCAAGTCTTTTGGGGTATATGTGAAACCATGCCAGTCATCTTGGTTTTACTGAGCTGTGTCTAGAGTGTGTGCATTGTATATTCAGATTTGGCAGAATTTAAGCAGAAAGTATTAAGTTGTTCTTATAAAACCTGAAATAATGCTTTACATAAATGTTTTATGCCTCTGCTGTTCTTTTCTGTGCATGTGTGCAGTTACTTTAGACCATTTTGCCTGCAAGAGGTGTTAGTATTAGTGCAAATGTGTCACTTGTAGATGGTACCAAGCGATAGTTACTCAAATCTTTAAAAGATTTGGTTCTGATTTATGAGCAATTTTTTCCTTCTTCCTGCTCAGGGAGGTCGACAAATGGCTCAAAAATGAGACTTGAGACTTAAGACTTAAATATGGAAGAAATCTCTTCTGCATGTGAATACTGAATTCAGAGCAGTTCTAGTAAGCTGGCATCTGTTTCCGTATGCCTGCAGTTCACATTAAAGCTGTTAGCTATTGTGCAAGATCCTGAATGAAAAGATGCCTCCAGTCTTTCAAGAGGTGTAACCTTTTTGGTGTTAATGAACTGAGAATATGCTGTTTGAAGCTGACCAAGTCACTATGATAACTGAGAAATCTATCAAACTAGCATCGGAGTACTAGTTTGGGTTTTATCTGGCAAACTTGAGTATTCAGAAAGTGGTGATGAAAAACTTGTTTGTTTCAATTTTATGAGTAGAATAATGCTTTCCCAAATAAATGATCCTGCTTTTAAACAGGCTCGAAAAACCAAGTTATTAGTTATTAAATCCTTAATAGGGTTTAATATCTGAAAATGAAACTAACTATAGATAAGCGATTTTGCTAGCAGTATCTGTTCCTTTGCTTTATATTTGCCAGTGATGTCTCCAGCAAGCAAAGATGCCTCTGATGTTGAGGTATGCAGATAAGATGAATGAAATATCAATCATAATTTTGCATTCTAAATGGACTAAAACACTCAGACAGCTTTCTAGACCTGACACAGGGTTAACTAAGTTTGCTTTAAGTGTTTTATTGCCTTTTCCCTTCTTAAAACTTCTCACTTGCTCTAACTCCTTGAATAAATCATAAGAGCCTCAACACGGGTCAGGCAGTCCCAGCTCTGATCTGATCAGCCTGGCATTGCAATGCCTGCTCGCATTACCTGTCCTGTCAGATACATTCTCATAGCTGAGTCCTGTGCAAATGCAGCCTCATTGCCTCTGACAGCTTTAGAAGGTGACAGGTTAACTGCAGCAGAAAGATGTTCAACTGGAGTTGAGAGCAGCTGAGTTTCTATTGGAAAATAATCTGGTAGACCTCAGATTGAAAAATTTAGGTATCTCACTTTCTTGGGCATCTTTGCTCTCCCTGAAAAAACCTTTTGAGTTTCTGGTCTTCCACTCAGACTGCAAACAGTTCAGTGTCTGTGCTGATGTGCTTTACTTGCCTGCTACCTGCTCTTGGTTATTTCTGCAGTGGTATATATTTATATACTTTAGCTGGGACCTTTTGTCTTGCTCAAGCCTTGGCAATGTTAACAGGCCTAATATGTCATAGATAATTGGGTTAAATGTTGTTTTTAGTCTGGACCTTGATAGAAGGTGATAGAACAACCAAGACAGCCTGAATTTTGTCTACTTTATGAAAACTTCTGGGAATACTGTGAAAAATTATGTACAGTTTCTGCTTGAAGCTGGTTGTGCACTTGAATTTCTTCATTTGTGTTCTTTAGACTCCTGTACACATTAAAAACACCTGAATTAATGTCTTGATATGGTGACAGTCTTACCAAGAAAGACAACCGTGTAGAAACTCTTCTAGAGATTGAAGGGCCAGTCAAGTCTTTTCAAAATCCAATTGTATACAATGTTAAGAATTTTTCAGGTTGGTCCAGCTTTACAGATTTGTCTGAATTTCTGTGATAGGAAATTAATCTGAAGTATTTATGTGAGGCTTGAATATGCTTTGGTAATGCTGCCTACAATCCTGCTGTAACTGGGACAGGCTACAAGCAAGGATTAGAGAGGTTAGGGCTTTTATGCAACCCTATAGGAAACAAGACAACTTTTTGAGGTAGGATTCAGTCTAAATCAAGTTACCTATATATGGAGTGGATGCTTAAACTGCAGTGAGTGGAGTTGAGATCTCATCTTAGGCAATGGAGTTCAGGGTGATTTCATTGGGACAGGCTACAAGCAAGGATTAGAGAGGTTAGGGCTTTTATGCAACCCTATAGGAAACAAGACAACTTTTTGAGGTAGGATTCAGTCTAAATCAAGTTACCTATATATGGAGTGGATGCTTAAACTGCAGTGAGTGGAGTTGAGATCTCATCATCTTAGGCAATGGAGTTCAGGATGATTTCATACACCTTGCTGTTTGCTCAGCTGAATGCCTCAACTGACTTTAGGTCAAGTGTGAAAATGTGACCCTTAAACCTGTGCTTCTGGTGCATACATGCTTGAAAATCTTCAAACTTCTATAAACTTAAAGGCAAAAAAAGTGAGCTGGCTATGGAAGGTTGTAATGTGGTTGTCCTGAAGGGACTCTTTGGATCACAGAATCACAAAATCGCTTGGTTGGAAAAGACCTCTGAGATCATCATATCCAACCATTCCTGTCTACCCACTAAACCATATCCTTAAGTACCTAATCTACCCGCTTTTTAAATACATCCAGGGATGGTGACTCCACCACCTCCCTGCGCAGCCTGTTCCAGACTCTGACGACCCTCTCAGTAAAGAACTTCCTCCTTATCTCTAACCTGAACTTCCCTTGGCACAGCTTGGTGCCATTTCCCTGTGTTCTATCCTCCATCACCTGGGAGAAAAGACCAGCACCCACCTCTCTACAACCTCCCTTTAGGTAGTTGTAGGTGGTGATGAGGTCTCCCCTCAGCCTTCTCTTCTCCAGGCTAAACA